ATATTCAAAGTTAACCTGTCTGATATCCCAAAATTTTCTCAGGGCTCACAGACCTAGGTTAGCAATGGCACCCAGTTAAGACACCAAAATCAAGACTATGAAAAAAGTGGGACAATCTTCTTTTATAGCCTTACACTGCTCTAATGAATGAAGCCCAGGATAGTCATCAGCAACTTAAAATACAGAGCTTCATTATTATTAACAACAACAACAACAACAAAATCTATGAACTGTTGAAAAATTCATCTTAATGCTTTTAGACATGGCTATTATCTTAATGTAGCTCTATAGTCACAGTGTGACAAGAAGCTGCAGATTTGGTGGGTGACTACAGCTGACTTTCACTTTCTGAGTAGTTCCTCTTTCACTGAAGAAGGAAATGAAAAGGAAGGAACAGCCACACGCCACTTACGGGTCAAAGACAAGCCGTGTGATGTACTCCTTTGGCATCCGGGGCAGCTGGTGGGAGAAGACATTCTGCAGCCCGACCAGCCACATCAGAATCTTCTTGTTGGGTTTCTGGTTCAGGGAATTGCCAACCACATGAAATTCAATCACGCCCCTGCGCTCCTCCAGCCTTGCTGCCTCATCCCTGGCTGAATGTGCTGACAGAAAGTTGGTCTGGGATGCAGGAGACAGGAAAACATTAGACAGCTCTTCTCATAAGGCAGTGGACACAGGACGTATCAACATGTCTGTTCTTTTCTCTAAGAAGATATTAACATTTGTGGATTTTTCAGGGTCCCCAACAACACGTGTTATGAAAACAACGTAGAAAGGGTAGGTAAAGCATTTTGAGAGATCAGAGTATCATACATGTACATGGATATTTGGTGTAGGTTAAGTCACCACACTTGTCTGTAAAGGGCCCGCCAGGAAATATTTTAGACTCTGCAAGTCATAAGGTCTCTGTGGCAACTAGTCGACACTGTTGTAGTGTCAAAGCTGCCACAGACAATACATAAATGAATGGGTGTTGTAGTGTTCCAGTAAAACTTTATTTAAAGGGCGCACTGGACTTGGCCTGTGGGCTATGGTTTACCAGCCCCTGCTTTAGAGGAATCCCACCTGGCTGAGCCTGACAGGGACCTCGGGATGACAGATCCCAAATTCTCATTACAGGACCAAGAGTGGCAGTCACATTTATGTTTTTCATGTTTGTGGTTGGAAGACGGCTTTCTTTCCAGAAGAGTTATCTGCCGACCTACTCGCCTCCATAGCTGGCAGCACAGTGTTGCGCCAGCACTTTCTGCTCCCCATCCACTTGGCAGTGTGCAGGTAAAATGTGCCACGAGCAGGTCGCCAGGGAAGAGAAGCTCTAACTGGTAGAACGTGCTCGTATCATTGGTCCACAGCTGGTTGCCCAGGTGACCAGGTGCCACTGTGGGCAATTTCAAGCTACCAACATATTTAACAACTGGCTCACAAAATTCCTGCAATTCTAACAACTGTCTTGTGCACACCCGTACAAGCCAGCTCTAGTACACTGCTAAGCCCACCCAACAAATTTTGAAATGTCTGATTGCATCTACATGTTAGAGCTGAAAAAAACCTGAGTTAAGTAAGCCATTCTGTGAAGGTACTAAATCTCTGAAAGACAAGTATACAAAAGGTACTATAGTCTCAGTCCCTCAGACTCGGTATCTATTGGGTTCTCGGAAAAGTCATTATGCATTTTTGCAACGAAAAACATAAAAAAAAAACATGTCATGACTTTTCCGACACCCCCATAGATGGAAACGGAAAGGACAATTTTACAATAAGATCTCTCTCTTGCAACATTCCAGTTCTCTGAATTATCCTCACTACCGTAAAATAAATATCTGTGGAAACATGACAAATTAAAAATGCATACTTTCATCTATCAGAGCCACACTCAAAAGATTTAAAAAGATGCTTTGCAAAACAATCTCCAAGCTATTTCCTGGTTTCCTAGAAGCTTCCTGGAATGCCTGAAACTGCCCTGCCCCTGGATGTAATGCATGAGATGACAGCAGTACTTCTCCCAAAAACACTTTACTTGAATCTAATCTAATCATGAGTAAACAGACAAATCCAAATAGAGGGACATTATACAAAACCACTACCATAAAAGACCATAAAAGGGCTGGGGAACTGTTCCGGGTTAGAGGAGACTAAAGAGATGAAGGGATAAGAAATAAATGCAG